TAATTTACACGGAAGAGACGTTTGCACCACTGACAGCAGCTGTCAAGTTTGTCAAGTTTACCAACATTTAAATATTGTTTACGTACGAACTTTATTATCAGATCATTAACATATAAATTAACAGCATCTCCAATAAAGGTATAAAAAGTATGCAAATTAGGATGCAAATTTATTCGGCATTAAGCTCGCAACAAACCGTCAGTTTTAACTGTTAAAGTTTTATGTGAAGAATCATCAGTTGAAATTGTCAATGACAATGGAACGTCTGTAGAGGGCTTAACTTTGCATTCTTTTTCCCAACTGACTGGAGAGTTAAGAATCAGTTTCGTAACAGAAGGCCTAGACAAGAGATACTGGCAGTCCAGGAGTTTTAATTGATTTTGTATCTATTAGGGCTTGTCCCAACACTGGATGATAGAAGCTTAGATAGTTTAAAAATGACGACACTGTCATATAAGGGAACAAAATCTGATATTTCAATTTACAATTTGATAGGACTTAATCGTTCATTTATGGTGAACATTTTCCTATCTTTGTTCTTTAAGGACACTTTATACATTTATTTGATTAGTGGAAACAGACTTTAAATATTATTTTGTACAGACATGGTCGTCGGAAATTCTTCATACAATTGTTGGCGCTGTGCTTCATCCCGCACGCGGCTCTCATCTTGCAGAACTGCACTGCCATGGCACAACTGTCCAATACTTTGGATGCTTCCTTGTATCTGGATACTGAGGTAAGGTTGAACATTTAAAAAGCCCGACAACGTCTTATCTCATAAGAAAGCAAAGGCAAACAAACAATTTTACAAGATAAATAAAAAATCTTTAGTAAAGTTGACAGTGTTTCTTAAGAGAGAAAATCAACACTTAACGATGATGAATCGCTTACATGAAAAACTTTCCAAGTATGACAAAGGCATTAAATCGATTGTCATAGGCATCGAAGTCCATTCAGCTTTTGCTATTCATTTTGGTCTAACAAACAATAAGCAAACTAATAATAACTCAAGCTTTTTCTACTCTAAGGTCCAAACAAATCTGGCTGTCGGCGAAACAGTGATGGCGTTTCAGAAGGAGAGACTGAGTATGACAAAAGCAAGCTGTCTACAAGAATCCCGACAGGAAAGCAGGTTAGGATTGTCGCAAGCTTTTGCACAAAGTGTACTAAAAATAAAGAGAGGTACTCACTATTCCTTATTGATAAAATCATTGGTACTTAGGGGTCAAATCCACTAGACTTAATACCACTTTAAAGTCGGCTATTTCATGCAAATTATGTCTCCTTGCAATGAAACCTCTTTTGTTCACTTTTAAACGCTTTTTATGTGAGTCTCTTGCGTTATTTATTTAATTGATTTGCGCCTATTTAAAAGTCAAACACTATACTAGAGTCCAAAGATATGATCTCTGATCACTGACCTCTATAAATGGATAGGCTATAAACTACGTTAGTGTTTTTAATTTTCGCCATTTTGGCGCTGCTGGTTACGGTTGGTCGCGCTGAAGAGATTTCGAATTAATAATTATGATAGAATTGGCTCATCTATATCAAACAGCGCGTTTAAACAGGAATTTCTAAACAATCGCCTATATATTATTACATGTCTATGCCGCGGATATTTTTTTGTGACTGAATGGACACTGTTTGCCTTAAAGAGGCATTTACAGATTCTCTGGGCTTGAGGTGGCCGAGCGCAGATGGCGCTTAGCCTATACCTTGTTTATGAGTAACTAAGCTCGAGGGCTCCCTCAGGAGCCTCGGCACGTGCCGTTACTTCGTTATTATTGCCGGATTCTTAGCTAGGGTAAAAAAATATTGAGAGTGAAGATAAAATGTTTTGATACAGGTAATTCAGTAATGGAAACTGTAAATGGAAACTATGTACATGGGATAGGTCATCGTTGTATCTATTACTCATGCCTGTAGTCACAATTTTTTAAGGTTAGTGTTTAAAACGATAAAATGATGACAGTATGAGTCACATATATGGGATCCAATTGACGGCGCCGTTTAATTTACAATGTCAAGTGTGATATTCGTCAGGAATGACTTTTAAAGTTTGTCACCAGATTTGTAATTAGTCATACAAATAAAAAAGACTGATGCCAACATATCAATACAGGTTAGGAAAAACTAATATAACTAACAGTGGTAGAGCCCGCTTTAACATCTCCGCACGAATAGGTCGGCTCGCCCGGTGCAAAACCACGACCACACAGAAAACAGACGTGAAGTGGAAGCAATTCCGTGTTTCGTCTGATGAGTGCGGTGCCGGCGGCCTAATAGGCCTTTAGTGTCTTTCCCTTTCCACACTTATCTCAAGAGGAAAGGATGGGATGGAAAAGTGGATTTGACGATGTAGGAGACGCATAGGAAAGTGAAATTACCTCTTCATGTGCGTCTCCTCCTCCGTCAATTAAGGGTAGGCAACGCATCTGCAATTGCGGATGTTTATGGGCAGCGATCGCTTTCCATTTCGGTGGATCAGGTGGCCGCTTGCTCGTTTGCAACCTTATATAATAAAAAAAATAATTGTAGTGACCAGTAGAGCGCGCGCACATCTTTGACTAAACTATGTATAGCTGTTTAGTCGCGCTTTGATTCCTATGTTATATGGAGGTGCAACTAAAAAGTTGAATTGACTGTGAAACAATCGACAATCACACAGCAGTTGTGCGATAGTTTAGTCAAAGGTGTGCGCCGGATATGTTATCTAAATAAAATTAAACCTTGAAGCCAATAAAATTTTCAACAAAACTTCAAAACACACACTTCTTTGTTACCTAAGATGTCAGCAATTACAAAATATTTTTGAATAATTTATTTTTTAATAAAAAGCCCTACACTTACGTGACGCTTTAGGCTATATATTTTTACGTCATTAAACTTAGGGGTTAAATATTTTGGATAAAAACCCTAACGTGGGAAAGAGACCATAAGTTGCTGCCAACATCAAGGTAGTGCAAAGTAAGATAATTGGTATTTTGACATTTGCAATTGAGAATTTGACAAATGCAAACAATAAAATTATAATTTCATGCGGATAGCCGCACGCGAAAAGCTAGTTAGAAATAAAAATATAAGTAAGGTAGTAAAGGCAAAAAGAAAATACATATTTCATAATGCAACTAAATCCCTTTTAGAAAATAAACCTTTGCGCAGTCATAAATTTTAAAGTTGAGAACATGAGCACTCTATCATCTTAATATATTGAGCAAACAAGCACAGCGTTAAACGTGGCATGAATTAATTCATATTTTTATTACATATTTTTGCTAGTAGGGGCAATTCGCGCTCTATTTCAAACAACCATAATAACCAACATATTTCTCTTGCTAACATACGGAATCTAATTGAAGCGGTTACCGAAACAGTAGTTATATTAATTTATCGTATTATTTTAATTCTAATGGAATTCTTTGACGATCTGAACAGCTATGAAGGAACAACAGTCTTCGTTTATAGACATATTTTCTTACATTATAACTCTACGAGCTGTTGCCCGCGACTTCGTACGCGTGGTATTAGAAAACATACAAACTATATAAATTATAAAAAGCTATGTATCCCTTGGGAACCGGACCTTTCTCGGGGATGAAGCTCATCCCATGTGTACTCCAGACTTTGTTTTATATCTGTGCCAAATTTCAATAAGATATGTTGAACCGTTACAGAATGATCGACTAAACATTAAAAAACTAAATTAATGAATCCCACGGGAACCGTAACTATTCCAGGGATAAAAAGTAGCCTATGTGTTCTTCCACGCTATGCTCTAAACCTGTGCCAAATTTCATGGAGCTCCGTTCAGCCGTTTAGGCTACAAACGCTAACAAACATCCATCCAACCATCCATCTATCCATCCATCTATCCATCCATCCATCTAAACTTTCGCATTTATAACATTAGTAAGACTAGTTTTCGCCCACATCTGCGTGGAATTCAAAAATTAACAAAAGAAAGTTGCCTATGTGTTCTTCCAGACAGTCCTCTACATCGTCAAATTTTGTCGAGATCCGTTCAGCAGTTTAGATTACAAACTCTAACAAACATTAACCCATATAAACTTTCGTATTTACAGAATTAAAATGGAATTATGATTCCCTTACTACTTTTTAGCATCGCTGTTATATCCAAATGTCAACATTAACACTTTAATGGTTACGTCAAATAACGATGGAGGAGATGCATAGGAAGAGAAAATATCCTCTTTATGTGCGTCTCCTCCTCCGTCGGATAAGGGTAGGCGACGCATCTGCAATTGCAGATGTTTATGGGCAGCGGTCACTTCGCCATTTTGGCGGATTCAGGTGGCCGCTTGCTCGTTTACCATCTTATGTTATAAAAAAAAACCTAATTTAGTTAAAAAAGTTTCTTCGACGCTGTCTTTTCCCTTAAAGTTGTGAGTTTTTCCAATTTTGTGATGTCATTTATACCCACTGGTTACGCCACTCAACCTCAAGTCCTTTTTTAGTGTATTTGATTGCTTACTTTTCCTTCTTTTCTTCTTCAAATTCGTATAATGTGATGTGCCACGTTTTTTAAACGGCGTACGATCTGCTTACGTCATTGAAGTCCCTCATCTTTCTTTTTTACATGAATAAAAATAAATCATTAGCTCACTACCCTTATCCTATTCACCTAGGGTCAGCGAAAGATTAAACATAACTTTTTGGCTTCATTTTTATTGCCGGCCAGTCGCCAATCCTGCTTGGAAGATAAAAAAAAAATTAAGTATATCTTTTTCTTTATGTGTATTTCTAAACCAGATTATATATGATAAAACATACTTTTTTTTAATCAGCCTGTATCTGTTCTGAAGAATCTAAAAATGTTTTTATTTTTAAGCATACTTTTTGCTTGCACAATATTTTGAAATTATCTTGTGTTTCGAATTTATTTGAAATTGAATTGCAAATTATTCTAATTCTGTGGACCGTATTTTTTTATATCTATTTTAATTTACGTAAGTAAAGCGTTTACTGAACATTTATTTCCTATTTTATTGAATTAATATATATGACGCAATCAGGTAAAAACCTATTGGATTTTACGTGCATCGTAAAATCACAGGCCGTTCGTAATGACAATGCATTCAAGACCGCAGAGAAATGTTTCAATAATAGTTTCAATGGAACATGTATTAATTAATTTCAATTTTGTTTTTGACCACATTTGCACTTTTATTAGGATGTCCGATTTATTTGAAAATTACTCATTTTCCTTGATGATTGCAGTGCTTTTTTCGTAACCGTAGTCTTCATGACGCTACCAGAATAACCTGATATGGAAAATTAATTATTTTTTCATATTGATGATAACTTAGTAAAAGAATAAAAACCGTCTTTACGTACTTACTTTAATTGATTTTTTAAAGCTAATTTTGTTATAAAGTACAGTCGGGGAATATGCCGGTATGCATAAATGCTACAGTCGTTTGAACATTTTTTACACATTAACATGGGATCAATAGCCAATAGGGAGCACTGCTCAAATCTGTGCGAAAAAAGGCAAAGCAGTTACCGCGGTTTTCCGCGACTGTATATAGGTACTTTATACCATCAGACCTGTTTTTTACGCGGTGTAAAATCAGATAGATATTATGTAAATGCTATATGCGATATAAATATGTAAATTCGATTATTTCGTAATGGAATTCGTTTTATATGTAGATATTTTTATCTTTGCATAATTATATTTCTTATATAGTTTATCACTTTCAGATCGAAGTTATTGGAAGCTATCGAGGCTACAGATAATTATCTAGCGACGCTCCCAGCTTCGATAATAGAAGAAGGTTTTATACACAAGTTATAGTAAGTAATTACTGCTATACGCAGAATCGTTTAAATATGTAGAATCGTGTAGATTTCTTTAACTTGAACTTACGTTAATACAAATTTGGAACTGCCTAGCTTGAGAAACTAAACTGATTTCATGTTTTTCTAATGTTTGTTAGCTGTAATATATAATTCAATTCCTTAAATAGAGAAGGGTGAGAAACCACATAGAAAGTAAACAACTACCGACCGCTGACCTCTTTAAATATTTAAATAACCGCGCCGTATTGGCAGCAATACAGCCCATAAATAAATATTGGAGGATGCTGGTCTACCATTAGCAGAATAATAGACCATTAAACGGAACCACTAAGTTGTGATGTTGACGTTATTAAATATCAGAAAATAATAACTTAGGAATGGAAAATCACATGTAACATAAGTCATCAGACCGACTTTTATAGCATGCCCACACCTGAAACTGAACTATCGCATAATTGTTTCATCACGCTTTGATTCCTATAAGCTTATATGGAGGTGTACACTACTCGATTTTTAGTTGTGTAACTAAACAGTTGAATTGGCTGCGAAACAATCGACAATCGCACAACAGTGTGCGATAGTTTAGTGTCAGGTGTGCGCACGCTCTTATCCGATAACTTGCCCAATTCCTGTGAAACTGTTTTAAATTTGACAGTAGACGCTTATCATTTTACTATATTTTTTTAATTTTACTTTGTCTATTGGGCCAAATAAATGTCATACTTGTAGTTAATGATGAAATTAAAAAATATAATAACGAAATAGTGTGTGACGTCATATCAATTCTATGACGTATGTAGGTCATCCCGCGACCTTGAGTCAAACTACGCTACGTAATGGCTGGCCTCATAAGGGGAACGACCTGAATGGTAATTTATATTACCTTAAAAAGTTCGAGTAATGAGTAACCGTAACAGATGCATTTGTAACCACGTCACCGTTGTATACATTTTTTTTATTTTCAACAGAGTATTTGTTTTCACGCAGCACCTCTAGGAAGACCGTGCTGTAAGTTTTTCTACAACTTATAACTGTAACACAAAACAAAATCAACCGAAGGAGAAGGGGATGAACTGAAAAAGGATATTTACTTTACCTGCCCATGCTATCTTGCACTGATAAAAATCCTTATTATTTACAATGTTTTTCGCAGACATGATAGCACTAAGCTTCAAGCAGGATTATTTATCCTGATTTTATTATAAAATACTTTAACTGTCGAAGCATATTATCTCAGTTAAGACCCAACATTATCACATACCTACTAGTCTTACTAATTTTCCTTATTACACAATTTCTAACCTCTGTTTCTAAGTCACACCTAATGATGTCACACCGAATCGCATTTCATTTTACCTCACTCTAATAAGGATTTTGCATTATTTTAGGGAACCTCCCGTTATACACGGTAACGTTCCTTTCAAGAGGATGTCAGTCTACGAGCAGATTAACTCTGTACTTTTACTGTATATGACAAGGAATATTAAATCTACAATTTCTCCGTTATGGCGGTAAGAATAATTATTAAGTAGTATTATTAGTGTTAGTAATTAAAACCAGTAACCACACATGAGCATTCGCACACAATGGCATCAAAGAAACACACTCAAAAAAAATAAAAAGAAAAAATTGATAAAAAACTCCATATATCATAAAAAAACAAAACATACTTACAAGAATGTCCTAGCAACGGACCTACTCGTACTTGTAAAAATAAATAATTTTAAGTAGTAAAAAAAATATTAATAAAAAACTTCAAAACTTAGCCTGGGTCGAAGTCGCCCAGGACCACAAGAAGGGTTCTTGTAAAGTAACTTTTTAGAACAGCCAAAGCAAGGACATAAAAAGACGTAAGCAGCTTCCAAATTAAACCTTTATATGGCTATAAACGAGTAGAAAGAAATATAGGACCTGTTTTATGTCAGAAATAAAGTAAAGGTCGAGAATTGATAGTCCACGAAACACGTAGGAGATGAGAAGTAAATTCATAATGAGCATCTTGAATGCAAAAGGTTCTTTACTTATTGCCGTGATGTAAAGCCTTAGTAAGTTACGGTAACCTAACCGTAATGTTTTTTTTTCTTTAACAATCATGTATACCTATAACTGGATTTGTTATCATTCTTGTGTCTTATATGTTATTGCTTATGTAATTGTTCTATAACTTATCTGTTGGTGTACTTTATAAATAAATAAATAAATAAATAAGTTCTGTAATACTTAATAATAATTCTTGTAGGGTAGACAGGTAAAAATGATTGCTTATTCCACCAAATTGTAAAGTGTATGATACTTCCATATATTATATTGTTAACTTATCTGACAGTGACGTCATTTTAAAGCTATTTGAATCTCTATCCGCTAGTGACCCAAAGCCCTAAAAGTTAAGAAGATAAAGACAGGAGAATATTATGCTCGCAACAGAATAGTCGTGTAGTATTTTTGCGTTATTAAGTAGTGGTCTTGTCAAATCAATTATTACCTTTAACATTATTAACACGGTTGCGGTTTTAACATGTCGGGAGTCATTTGAAACCTGTTACAAGTTTTGTTTGCATTTGTTTCATCTGCTATAATAAAAGTTATCAGGACAGTCACCTCAAACTGGCTTTATTCGACCTTCATATTCTAATTATGCCGAATTAATCGATTAATTTGAATAATAATAAATATCAAAAGGTTTTATCGACAAGGTTAAAACGTGCATTCCGCATATTGTGATTCATTTTTGTTAACCTAAATAATTTAAAAAATACAGTAAGGTCTTAATAAGCTCTTTTGCGGTTAAACGGTTACTTGCAGTCGAGTATCAAAATATTTTATAGTAACATTTAAAAATATTTGTTAAACAAAATCAGGTGTATCGCAATGTACGTGAAACTCCTACGACATAAAAGGGACTGCTTGTTACCACATTGTAAATAAAGCCACATTCGTAATTGTCTTGCGAGAATGAGCAATTTCTAGTCAGAATGAAGCTAACAGAATGACAACACAAGCTATACCTGTACCTGACGGTAATTGGTGCCATATCTTGAATTTTACTGTTATCTCAATATCAGCAATTCCGTGTTTCGTCTGATGAGTGTGGTGACGGAGGCATCATTTAAGTCCCTTTCTCTTTACCACCCATTTCTTATGAGAGGATGGGAATGGGAAGTGGATTTGACGGTGTAGGAGATGCATAGGAGGGGGATATATCCTCTTCATGTGCGTCTCCTCCTAAGTCGGATAAGGGTAGACAACGCATCTGTAATTGCGGATGTCTATGGGCAGCGGTCGCCTCGCCTTTTTGCGGATTCAGGTGGCCGCTTGCTCGTTTGCCACCTTACGTTATAAATAAAATATATTTTGTCAGAGAAAACTCATGGTTATTTGCATAGCGTCATCGTCATTGTCATATTTGTGATTAAAAAAACTCTGATAGTGAGGGCATCTTGCATAATCGATTACTAATGTAAAAAAATTAAGCATTCTGGAAAATAAGGACTTAGTCAACAATGACTGATCGCCTATTTTGTGGTTTCGACCACAAGATCGGGACACATAAAGTTAATGTTTATTTTATAATTTCACCGAGGAATGTGTTAGAATCTCCTGATCCGGTTCTTACCTGATGACTCAAAGCGCGTGTTCGCTGCGTCCGAGAATTTTCTTAAAGTTGTGACTCACTTTGCAACCTTATTGCACTTTTATTTTGTAATGCATTATTATGATAATTACATAAAAGATATATGAAAAGACGTAAAATTAGTGTCGTTATTAACATACTAATAATTACATATGTACTTTTTACAATAAACATTACTATTTTTTGGCATTAGAGCCAATAATGTTTGAATTACTTTGAACCATGGCGTTATAGTATTACCTAACCTAAATCTACTCCGAAATAAGACAATAAACACTGGTATCATCACCCACAAAGAGTATTAAATAATAGGATTTAATTCACGTTTCCAGGCAGCTTTCAGCTGGTTCGGAGTTGCTGAGGACAATGGAGGAACTGTCGTTAGTCCTGATGCTGTCCATCTACGCGTCCGCCTCGGAGAAGTTAGACCTGCAGATGGTGGCTGAGATGCTGGTACACCTGGCGTCGGGACAGGAGCATCTGCAGACTGTCACACAGTATTTGGAACTAGAGAGTCTATTGGAGGAAGTTAAGATGATGGAAAATGTTGGCTTAATGTAAGTACATTAAAAGAATTTAATTACCTTCCCACTAAGAATCATGCAGCAAACAGTGATCATAATAACTATGTAATAAATGTGTTCGATGTTACATTATGCCGTCAGGAAATTCTTAATAATGTTACATTGTTATCATCATCATCACCATCATCATCATCAACATCATAATCATCATCATCATCATCATCATCATCATCATCATCATCATCATCTGCCTTTATCTGCCCTCTATTGGACACACGCCTTATGTTAAATTACGAGTGACTTTTAAATTTTCAGTTTCAATAACACAGAGGCACTACATCTTAACGACAATGTGACCGTGGACGCTGTTAGACAGTGGGCGATAAGCAATAAGGATAGCGCGGAAAATTCATTGCAAGATTTAAAAGAAATACAACAAGTACTGTGGAACGTTATAAGGTACATATGTTATAACTTTAGTACAGGACGCAACGAGATATAGGCACGCCCGTGGACGAAGGTTTTCCCCAACAACAGACTTGTCAAACTCGATCTTGCAGCTTTTATAAAATTTGTAGTTAATTTAGATGTAATGTCTTGTAAAGATAAAGCAATTAGTTTAAAAACTATTTAACTACGTCGTAATCTTTAACTCCAAAAATCAAACAAAAAAATGGGACCCACCTGCAAGCATTACCTTCCGGATAAAAAAAGAATTATCAAAATCGGTCCACTAGCGGCGGAGTTATGCCGTAACACACATAAAAACAATACAAAAAAAACATACAGACGAATTTAGTACCTCCTTCTTTTGGGAAGTCGGTCATAAAATTAGAATAAAATAGTAGAAGAGATAGACATTAAAAAAGAGATGATATGTTTATTTTAATCTTCTTTATTTGACCAAATTTGTGTTTCGTTGTGGTTTTTAAACCCAAAGATTTCTACGTACTTTGACGAAATCCGTGACTTACACCCTTTAAATGTAATTTATTAACGCTTGGGTTTTCCCATTTATTGTTTAATTATGCACAACACACTCACCTAGTCTGTGAAGACTCATACGATTAAAATAATTCAATCATTATAGGTATATGGAGTATCACTCAAAGTTCTTTGAAATTCAAAAGTGTTAAAAATGTTTTCAATACGTCTACTTTATTGTCACTAATACGCACCATGTCATGTAAAATTCTATTTCAACTAAAATAAGGGTTGTCGTACACGGTAATTTTCACAGCATCAGCATGTTGTCAGAGTACTATCTGCCTGAAATAGTGCATGATTGCCCTAATGATAACTGATACATTTTGTTTGTAGAGCATCAGCGAGTCACGAAGTGTGGTCTGCTAGAAGAACTCTTGGCATAGGTGTGGCAGTATTGATTGTTGTGCTGCTGGCATCTCCTATATTAATCCTGCTCCTCAGACATACGATATGGACTATACAGGTACGGTATACTAAGAGTGGTGCAAGACATGTAGGCGTTACGCTTTCTGTTACTTTCGTTTATCTTAGAATTTACGGTCGAACAATGCACATCAGTATACGAAACTATTCGATATGTGCAGCAAACTATTGGAAACTATTGGGCTGTGCGTGCTTCTATTCTAATCGTAATTTAAAATCGAATTTCGAATCGTTTAAAAATTCGAATTTCGAATAGTTTTAAAATTCGAATTTCGAACAGTTTTAAGATTCGAATTTCTAATAGTTTTAAAATTCGAATTTCGAATCGAATTTACAGGAAGAATGATATTATTTCTACCAATGTTGATAATTGAATGTAATACAAGAGTTTCCTCGTATTTTGATTGTTATTGAGTGAACTGAATTGATTCGAACATCAGTTGAAGCAAACGCGATTGAATTATGAGAATAGATAATAAATAACTAATCACAATATTAAATTGTATAGTTAATAAATATTTGTTCTGAAATGTAGTTATGCATCTAATTTTAATCTAAGTTTGGATTTGTGATAGACAATATTAAAGAGGTTATTGTATATAGGGTTTCGAGAAGAGAACCTCATCGAATTTTTTTACATTTTTGTATTTGATAAATAGAAAAATAGTAATTTCGACAAATAAAAGTTCAAAATTGTATAACAAATAATTTATTGAAACAAAACAAAAAGATAAAAGTGATAAAGGTCACAAAATAAATACTTAACTGGTGATAAATAGTACAATTTAGCTGATTGAGTGTTTCCCATTGGACCGACTGGCCCACAGATAGTACGGCTCAAAGGGAAAAGTTCCCTTTGCCGATTGAATCCGTACAATCGTCCTGGTTAATGGATACATTTAAAAATACATACACAGATAAAACGAAATGTGACTTAAGTGCGCCCTCAACTAACAACTGCTTGAAATAATCCACTAATTATTGGCTTAAGTAATATCACATTTAATACATTATATCAAACAAAAATAAACCTGACGAAATATTCTTAAAACATAGTTTATTAAGAAATCACATTTATTCGACACTTATCACAGAATTATTCAAACGTGCGTACAAAACATACTTGTCTCTTTTCTTTAACGTAAAGATGATAGAGATGACTATATGATTGTGTATACCTGCGGCAGCAGACAAATCGAGATAGTAATATTGAAAATGTTTATGAAGCAACACACTTCTGGATGTTCTTCATAAACATAGATATGTTTTCTTTTTCGTTTGTTGTATTCAAAGATATTTATGAAACATATAGACTAGATATAGTGAACATTTTTTTTTATCGGTAATATCTCTGACAGGTAATACATCAGTTGTTAAGTTTGGTACATGTTATATATTTTACATTATTATAATAAAGACAACAGTTTCACAAAATCAAATAAAAACATTTAAACATATTTAATGGCACCTATTGATAATTAAATTAAATACAATTAATTTATGTTGACACTAGGTTTCGCCCACGACTCCGTCCGCGTGGAATTAAAAAATAAAATAATGAGTAGCCTATGTGTCCAGACTATCGTCTATATATAACAAACACCCATCCGTCTAAACTTTCGCATTTATAATATTAGTATGATGTGGTTTCGTGATGAAAAATGTCTCAAGTGAAGTCAACTATGCTTATTCTATAATTTTTTTATCTCTTTGGTTGTACTTTAAAGAGTTTTCATATGTTTTTCGGACAAGGAACGCCCGTATTCTCTTGGTATCTGAAAAGAAAAGAAACAAAATTAATCTTTTTACACATTTATTTGTTGATGGTCTATCACTAGTACTTCGCGTCTAAATTAAGAAGGAACTAAGCTTTGCTAAACAGGTATGAAAGTTCACTTTCTCTGAATTTGTTTAAATCAAATGAGGCATTAAAATTACTAAAGTTTTCACGTCACATCAGCGACATGTTAATGTCATTTTTTCGCATCTTAATGGTATATTTTTATTACGATATTTAAATATAAATCGGCGTTTTATATGACAAGGCCATGTTTAAATCCAATCTTACTAATATTATAAATATGAAAGTTTAGACGGATGGATGTATGGATGTTTGTTAGAGTTTGTAGCCTAAACGTCTGGACGGATTTCGATGAAATTTGGCATGGATGTAGAGGATAGTCTGGAAGAACACATAGGCTATTCACTTTTGTTTTATTCAATGCCATTAGGACGGAGTAGCGGGCGAAAGCTAGTTTACAATAAAATGATGACATCTTTCAAATTGTAAAAGCGGACGCACACCTTTGACTAAACAATCGCACAACTTTTGTGTGATTGTCGATTGTTGCACAGCCCATTCAACTGCCCACCATGACAGTAATAATAAGCTCATAGGAATCGAAGCGAGACTAAACAGTTCTGCGATAGTTTAGTCAAAGTTGTGAGCACGCTCTAAGTTGTTAAGAAGCGAAGTGTTTGAGATCCGTTTTAGAATTCTTCTGTTAGATGTTCGTCTTCAGCTGGGTTTATAAAGTTTCCATTTATTTCGACATTACCTAGCGACTCAGTGTTAGACTGATCTATACTTGAACAGAGTAAAACTCGAGTTATATAGTTCGGAAATGCATTTCGTAAATCGAACTAAAAACGCTTACGAATGGTTAAATTTATTGTTAAACCGGGCATTAATACTCACTTTTTACAAGAGATGCATCCATATCCAGGTATTCTTATGTGATCCAGTGGGCATATCATACTCGCAGATATAGCATCCCGTTTCACTATATCTTTTAGATTTTTATTCTTAGCTAGCTCTGAATATTGCGTTAAAGCACTTGAAGATTCGAAATTTAAATTTGATAAATCAGATACCGCGAGTTTAAATGACCAACTCAATTGTAGAACAAAAAAGAACACTAACATCGCTAAAAATTGCTTGTAAATTCCCATTTTTGCTGCACGTCTATCCAACACGAGTGTTAAACTCCTACTAATTCCGTCGAATACAGAAGGAAAGCAGTAAAAGAATATAATGATTCACTTTCGATAAAATGAAAATAAATGGTTTAATTTAATATTTTACTCTTATAACACGTTAGATGGCCGTAATAAGTAATGAGCAATGTTAACAATGGCCTAGTCATCCCTTATTTAAAGTCGTCCTCAGTGAGGATGTGTGACGTATGGGACAATCTGACGAAATCCATTATTATTAGCATTATTTAAGTAATAAATAACATTAGTTATTGGAGTAATAGCGAAGAACTTCGACCAACACATTAAAAAGCTCTTACTAGACAGCTGGAGCACATTGAGTTTTCTTTTTCTGCAGTTTTGACAGCTGGTTGCGTGAGTTTTGCGATTTCGCAATTTGGTAGGATACTACTTTTTGGTTTCTACACAAATATATTTAGTTTTTTTTCTTCCAATAGACTCAAGAATAAAAATTATTAGATTATAGTGGATATTTAAATCTAGGAAAAACATCCTGTTACCACATGGACATAGAACACAATAGAACGGCTAAAGATTTTTTTTTAATTCTAAACTATCTACCGAGCATAAAAATGTGCGTTGGCTAATCATAAAAAATAATGTATTTGTTTTTGTCGACTTAATAAAAGTATTTTTTTTTAATTCTACAAAGATCGCCACGGGCTAGAAATACTTATAAAATGAAGTCATTGTAACATACTGTGGTTTGTACGGATATATTTGTTACTTACTACGTATCTTCAAAATGTCTTAACGATTCTCGAAGGGATTTAACTCAGATACAGAACATAAAAGCTGCTTAGTTTTTTGTTCCGCACGTACGTAGTCAAAAGCTAATAAGAGGTGTAAATATAACTGTGATGGCGCCATAGTTGTAATAAGATGATTTGTTACAAGAATTAGCTGCGTGTTTGTCTAGATCAACACGATATGTAATTGTTGTAATTACAAGATTGGTATGCGTGTCTAACACGTTCACAGCGGCAAGTAAAATCATAATTCATCTGGTGCGGCGGCGGGCCAAAATGAACCCCTAATGATGTTTCCGAAAATGTATGGCAGGCCTTTCTAGACCCACCAGCACTAAGATAGATTGAATTGCACCATAGTGGAAACATAATGTATACATTTTATGTAATGTAATGTTTACCTGAGATAATCGTTTCGCAATAGCGAGAGGGACATAGTTTTCTTCGACCGCGCTAGATTAAGTACCGCGTCAGGTCGATATCGGCCTGTCACGCAGTGAGCGTGTTAAAGAATCAGTCAGAGTCATTATGTTTGATAGAAATAGATGCTTTGTTATGGTCACAATTATTGTAAAATTTTGTATCATGTTCCTTGTTTTATGCATACTTATATCAAGATTAGCTTTGACAATTCTTTCTTTATCGTTATAGGATTTTTACGCGACTATAGCTTAGATTATGACGACCGACGATCATTTTGTCGTCATCTTGAAAATTGTTTATATCTAGAGGCGTTTACCTCAATAAGAAAGCACGCTCTATGAATATGTACTATTTTTTGATATTTTCCATATTATATACTTAAAAGTAGTTTTTTTTTATTATTCTTATTATACTTAAAAGTAATATAATATAGTTTATTTTAATATTTCTATTTAATGGAGACAATAAATGTTAAAAATCTAAGTAAACTAAGTAGTCATGTGTTAGGAAATAAAAAAAAACGTAGTTGTGAAGTTTTATTTAAAAAAAATCATATTGTTACGTAATATAAAACACAGATAAAATACAATAACAAATAGAGAATATTAACATTGTTTTATAGATCTGACTAGAGTATCGACAAGTGTTCTTGACAAGAACGACATTTGTATGCAAAGTCAGACTATTTTTCATTTATACAATAATAGCTGTCGCTCCCGACGTCATCCGCCTGGTATGACTCTATGTTACTCAGCGGTTACGTAGCTTTCTATTGGTGCAAGAATTTTTGAAATTGGCCCAGTAGTTTTTGAGTTATTTCATTACATAAAAAAATACATTTTTTTTCTTTATTATACTAGCATGTAGATAC